ACTAAAATAAGAAGACAAGTGGATGAGTAATAATTCGAAAGTCCATCATTCACTTTCTCATGTCTAGCTTAAATAGAAAGTAAAGAGAATACATCCATTAATTTCGGCTAAATTATATGATTGATCATATTCTGAAGCTCTAGCTCAAAATTAACTACAAAACTTTTCTCTCCCATTCTCTTCGTATTACTATAAAAATTTCAAAGACAAAGAAACATATGAATTTTCTAAAATATTATGAACTAATCAGTACTTTCTCTCCTGACTTTTGGTTAGGGCTGGGTGTGATAATCGAACTGGACTCGAAATATTTGGATATTTAGTAAGTAGAACTGTCGGATCCAAATTTAATTATGGAACAATTTGAGTTCAGTTCAGTTCTATTCAGTTCCTGAGTTCCATAATATAATTAATTTTTTTAATATTTACAAAGCTGTATTAATTCAACTAATAACATGTTCAATTTTAGCTTTTGTAAAATAATGTAGTCCAATTTTAAATGTTTTTTGCGTCTCTCTCTGTTGAGTTCTTCATAAAATTGATTATTAAAATCACAGGAAAAGAAAGACAAAGAGCTCACAATAATTAAAAGAGACGTTGTCCAGCTTCAATTAAATTTCTTCAAAACGATAAAAACGACACTACGATAGAGTAACAAATTTGAATAAAGTTATGTCGATTTGATTAAGTTGAGTTTGAACTGAAAATTAAAAATAGGAAAATTATATTTTTGGATTTGAGCTAAATTTACTAGTTATGAAACTTATTTAGAAAAAATAAAATAGTTTGACTTTTTTAAAATAAATAAATTTAAAAAAATTAGGGAGATTCGATTATTATTCGATTTTTCGGTTCTTGATTTAGATTCGAAAATTGAACCAAATCCGTCGGTTCTCGATTTAGATATTCGTTCTGGTATTTAATTTAAGAAGAGCCGCTTGATTCGATTTTCGATTCGAGAGTTTTGCCCAACCCCACTTCTGGCAAAACATTGCCACGTTCGAGCTTTACGGAACAACATGAGAAAAACTTGTATAAGTCATTGACAAATATCATAAATAGTACTCAAATTCGGCATTACCAGAAATATAGGCCTTACAACTACATTTTGAAAGAGTCCTCCCATCTACGCAAATTTGTTGCTAGCCCCTCTGCCTCAATCAATTTTTACTCATTCATAAGCAAATTAGAAAAAAATAAAAAGGTCAGTTCAAGTTTTTTGTTTAAATTTTATTTTTACCAACTTTCAAATACTAGGTAATTCATTTTCAAGCATTTTAACACCATTTACTCATTTTTTGAGAACATCTAGTTAATCATAGTAACTAGATTTAGTCTAATCTGAAAACCGTGACCTTTAAAAGTGACAACCATAACACTGGAGCCAACAACATCAACTCGATATACTTATTTATTCACATCTATATATTAACTTGTATTATTTGTTAACTTCGAATATTTTTGAGAAAATTATAGTCCCCTATTCTTCATAAGTTGATTATCTTTTATGATGTGATCCATGGAACGAATGCAACTAAGACAAGTTCGGGCTAAGATCCACTGATTGTCGAAGAAAGGTCGATAACTAGGTCGCAAGCAAAGAGGGTCAAAGAAGCAATGAGAATACATGTTCAAGTTACGGTGGAAGGAATATCAATCATGACGAGCAAAGAAACAAGTTTCGTGTTGGGCTCGCGAGAAAAATCACGTTGGATCAACATAATTCGAGCAAAGAACGAAGGGGCCGAAAATTACAACTATGTGACAGCATAGTTGAAATCTAGCATGCAGTCGCATGGAACAAAGCAAAAATTCAAGCGGCAAAATTCTTTGAATTATGCGACCGCATAGAAAAGTACTATGTGGCTGCAAAGTACACTATGAGACGCAAGTTTCCCAATTTTTGCGAAATATTTTATTTTAGTCAAGACTCTATTAGTAACTTTTGTATTCTTTAAACTTTAATTCCATTTAGAATACGGTTTCATAGGTTTCCTATATATGAGACTCATTATTCTATATTGTAAACATTTATTTATTCACATCAATTGAGAGATTAATTTCTGAGCAATTTGCTTTTAATTCTTTGTTCTTTATTGAACAAATTCTAAACTTATCAAGAATTATTTTCTTATGACATTCAAACAATTCGGATGAAATTCGTGAGTATTGTGATCAATGGGTCAACATATTGCTGACTATTGTATTGCTCACTTGGTTCAATATTTTTTAGTCAAACTCAAAACTTTGTTTTCTTGGGTTTTAATCAATCTCGTGTGGGTTTCGTAGTTACAATTGCTACTTGGATTCACATCATTTTATATATAAATTGAATAATTGATTAAAAAAGAGTTATCAGCTTTCGTAATATCAGATAATTAGTTTATTGATATGCAATGTATTAGGAATTATTTTTAACAAAGTTGATTCAAATACTTAATACACATTTGATAGATAGTTAATAAAATGTCTGTAAATACTAAAAATAAGAACAATATAAATTTTACTATAATTTACATGTTATACAAAAATTAATTTTTCTCACGAAAAGAAATTGTATTTTGTAAATAATTTTTAGTGAACCGAAGACTCAGTGGCCTGGCAGGGTAAATGTCCGGGACGAGTAGTCAAGTCTCATAAGTATGTAGTTAATAACGTGCTGTTGGAAATTCAATTACAGGTAGCATTTGGCACATATAAAAGAAATGTTGCCATGGCAAAAGGCCATCACTTAGGAAAACAGCATTATCAATGTGCAGAAACAGGCACAAATTAACCCAACTAGTTTTGGAAGTGATCAAATTTAGATCAAATGTCATACAATAGCTTCTCAAAAACTTTCATGTGTTCCGTTTGCAGCGAAATCGCAACAGATAAGCTCCCGTCGTCGTCTGGACTTGGCAATACAAAACTCAAACCTTCGTACGCGATCCCACCGGGACCCATAAAGATCGGTCTACCCCATCCAAAGTCCGCATCGTGGATTGGCAGTCGAACCCAACTTGTTATACCAAGATTTGGACATCTAAAAGTATGCGCACCACGGACAAGGGCCTTAAGATCGGGTTGCAACTCCAAGTAATCGAGTGCAGATCTCAAGTAATCGTTGTCCATTCGAGCTAAAGCATCTTGAATTTTACTCGCAGCGTACCATACGGGCTTTGATTGGAGATCACCAGCTACTGCAATAGGAGTTGCTGTGAATATCACATTTCCAAAATAGCCCTCAGGGAGTGGAGGTTGGAGCCTAGATCGCCCATCGGTTGCAATGTAAAGCTTCGTTTCTTGATCCTTGGGAAGTCCTCGNCCCTCAGGGAGTGGAGGTTGGAGCCTAGATCGCCCATCGGTTGCAATGTAAAGCTTCGTTTCTTGATCCTTGGGAAGTCCTCGTGCATTACACGTACAACGCCATACATGTCCTGCCAACATTGCATACGAGCTATAGGAAATCGTATTTTCCTCGTCCTTCGACTTGGCTTTTAGGGCACTGAGTTGGGCACGAGTTAGTTTGAATATGGAAACAGCCGTTTCAGGATCAGATTTAGAGTTATTCTGAGGAGGAGTTTTCATGGCCGGAGGAGGTTGGTACTCGATGTGCTTGAACTGAGGCTGGGGTGGATCGCGCGCACGGAGGAGAGTCCTATCGATGAAAGGCAAGACAGTTATGTCTAGACCACGAGCCATATCGGACCATGTATTGATACAATGAAGACCAGAAAATCCATCTGCTACATGATGTTGCATTCCAACACCTAGGGAGACTCCTCCACATTTGAAGTGCGTTACCTGCACAATAATTGAATCAGTTTTTGCTGGTTTTTATGTCAAAGCTCACAAACTCAGCTAGAAAAGACATCGTCACATTCACAAACAAACAGCCTCAAGCACTATACGTGGATGAAGATGCATGTTGGATTGACGTATAGTACGGCAAGATCATGTGAGGTTTTCTTTTTCTTTTCCCCTGATCAAGATGTCTCTTTTATTTCAAAAAGATTAAAATGAAAATCGACGAGCTATAAAACTGCTATTTATTTTCGCTTTGTGATATACTAGAATTTTTTGACACTTTTTTAAGTAACTATTTTGAAAATTACCAATTCCTTTAGTCATACCCGATGACTTAGATTTGGGTCCCCCGGAATTCGACTTCATTTCGACCACAAATCTCGACCTCGACCTATGACCTCCCGAGTTGATCTTGGCGTGTCACATCGATATAAGGTCGGGATTTATTTAGGTCGGGGTTATTATCTAATTCGACCGTTCCCACCTTAAGCTCGACACGCACCCACCGACTTAATCTCCAAAAAGTAGACCCTATCTAAATCTACTCCTTCCTTGATTAGAACTCTAACAAAACACTTCTAATTAAACTCCAACACCTAACCCTAAGGGAAAAAGGACTCTTTCAGTAATATAATCCTTCTACAGCTCCTCCATCAACGCCTATAAAAACTTGGCTGAGGCTCAACATTAAGGTACGCTTTTCATTATTGCAAATTCAAAACCTTCTCCCATCAATCTCTCCATTTGACTAAAACATCGGAGGGACAACGAGAACACACCTCGTTGTCTTTTGTTTCAGGTATTGGAAGACTGTTCGTGCTCATTTGTGAGATCCAAGCTTGGAGTTCAAACCATAAGTTCGCGGTTTATTAGGTATACTTTTTTGTAGCATCAATACCAAATACAAAAACATGTGATCAAGTTTTAGGGCAAATAATGCAATCCAGGACTTTACCTTATATTGACCATAAATGCACTAAATACATTAATTTATATGACACTTAGGGAAAAAATGAAATAGCATAATACTAATACTAAAAAAATAATAATAATGGATTCGTTCACCAGAATCGCACCTGTAACACCAGAAGTGGATACGTCGATATTGGTTGAGAATAATCCACCGCCGGCATAAGACGTCGGAGCTCCAGCGTTGGAGCAAAGTCGCCGAAATCATCGACCGTCCCCTCGGAGTCCGCCTCCACGAACAGCACTCCCTCACCATTACAGTCAATCTCAATTCGACCATCTTCATCTCTCTTCAACCTACCAGCCATGGGATAGAATGGTACCAGCGCACGGCTAAGTGCCTCCTTGAGCACAGTAGCGTCGAAAAAGTTCGCAGCCCCGGTCGGCCGGTAAAAGTAAACGCTAGGGGTGTGGAAGTTCGGCACCACCAGGTCCACGTTGGAGTTCCACAGGCTCTTCATCGGCGTAGCCGCCGCCGGCCTCACCATGGTGGAATCTTTCACGCTGATCGTCATGGTTTAAATTTGTCGTTTTATGCACTGGTTGCAAATAGTATGATCAAAATTATTAACACGCGATAAACTTTCCACTTCAATATAAAAACGATATTTTTCACATTAAATCACCTACCAAAAAGTGTTCTTAAGCGATTTGTTTCCAAATTGAATCCGATGACAAATGTGGTGGTGGAGAACGGCGGTGTTGGGTGGGGTGAAGGGTATATACGATGAAACTTGTATGTATGAATGGAGTTGTTTATAAGAAATGACCAAATTTGAAGCTTATTATATAAACTTAGCCTCTTACCTACCGCGCCTGACGGATTGACCATGTAAAAGCATGTAGATATAAAATAATATTAAAAGGACAAGGAAATGAGTTAGTGAGGAAGTTGGTGAGATGGTGACCCAACAGTTTAGCCGGATGTGTAAGAGTGGGCCAAATAGGTCCATTTTATTGGCGGAGAACGATTCTTGTAAATAATTTTCAACCACGTAAGCATATCAATTTTCACAGCGCACACACGTGCAAGTGGGTGGAGTTCACGATTAAAATAATCGTGGACCCCACCTTCATGAGAAGGTGTGAAAATTACTGTATAAATAGCATTTTTGTATAATTTTTTTTTTGATATCTAGGTATCCACCTTACAGTGACTAAATCCTGGAGTCTACACCTTGACCCCTCAAGTTGCAGGCAGGTTAAAGCACAGGTTATGCCCCAAACTAACCAGTGCTCAAAAGCCCCCCAACTGATCTGCCAAAGTGCCAAGCAAGCCGTTTTCCATCTTTACACCTTGCCTTCTAGTAGAGTTCCTGCCGTCCAGGAGAATATCTGCCTTCCAAGAGCTTTCCAAGAATCGAACTCACAACTTCTGATCTGCCAGTCTTGAAACGCCCTCATCTTTACCAGTTGGGATGTGCCCTGAGGAGCACATTTTTATATAATTTTTAGTACATAAAGGTGTACAGCCTTTCACATGAAGTGGGCCCCACTCATGTAAAATGATGGACACTACAACGTACTAAAAATTATATACCCTTAACATTTGGCAGTGTTAATGACATGGATCGAGAAAAATTCACATTTACAAAAAATCCAAGTTTAATTTAATATTCAAAAGTCAAGTCGGATATTAATTCACCAAACGTGGACGAGTCAAATTTTAGGGAGCTCGCCCAAAGTTCTATCATATATCAAAACACACACACACACACACACACACAAGCTTATCCTAATCCGACATGAGTAAATTAGTAAAATCAAAATGCTCAGAAAAACCTTATTTCTATCCGAAGTTGAATAGTAGTAATGAATAGTTATCGAATTTCGAAAAGGGCTCGCCTGCTCCTTCCACTGTATGTCATAAGAACAAAACTCAAGCGATAAAAGTTTTGTGATATTAATGACATTTCAGTGGCAAGACTTTATTTTGGAAAAAAAAACTTGATTAGTTCAATTAATTCTTGGTTGAACCGGGCGATTAACTTGGGTTTCGTTTCATATTTTATGATTTTAAGCTGTAATCAATCAGTTTTTCGATCCAATGAATTAGAGCCATCTGATTGTTGATGCATTCCAATTCTTACTTTTCTCGGAATTCAAGAATATTAATCTTCTAAATTAGCAAGATAAGTGTAATTAATCACATTATCCACTTTAATAATTTGATTTAAAATAATACTATTTAGCACTATTAGTGTTAAAATACTAGTCTAGGTTCATGAGCTCAATGAAAGGAAATATTATATGATTCATTTAATCGTTTATATTATTTAATGACATTTACTATTACCCAAATTAGTATTGTAACATCAGTGATACTAAATAATATTACTATTTTGTTCAGAATCTTTTTATCCTGTTTTAATTAATGAAAAAAAGTTTAAAAAATGCAGTTAATCACATTATCCACATCGATCATTTGACTTAGGGATATTCAATCTTGTTTGAATTAGTCAAAAAAGAGTTAAAAAGTGTAATTAATGACATTAACCATTTGATTTTAGGATATTTAATCTTGTTTTAATTAGTCAAAAAATATTTAAAAAAGTGTAAAAAAACTGAGGACATGTGTCTCCCCTATTGATAGGGTGCCTGCTACGTGGTTCTGTTTGGGAAGAATTATTGTAGATTTAGCCCCGTTTGTTACTCTTTTTTTTAAAATGTATTTTTTCTCTCTTCTTTTCAACCACACATTCTTCATTAAAATAATATTGCACGTAAATTAAAATTTTCTTTTTATTTTTAATCACACATTTTTCATCAATTTACTATTTCAAAATGCAATTTTACATAAAAATGACTCCCAAACACCCAATTAACTGGGGAGATGCATCATCGTCTGGCCAGCGGAATCAATCACGAATGATGAATTTTATATGGGTCCCACTGTGGTTGGTGAAACCATCAAATAAGTCTCGAGTTTACGCTTGACTTTGGATGCCTAATTTGAAAGCAAGGTTCATTTCTCAAATATTAAATTAATTTTATTGAAAAATCAACTTCCTGCCCATTTTCTATATAGTTCAGTTTGAGTTGCATTATTTAAAAAAATATATTTTTTTAAACAGTAATTTGACATAATTTTAATCACATTTTTTAATAAAATAATATTACACACAAATTCAAAATTTTTCCTTATTTTTTAATCACACATTATCCACAATCTACTGTTACAAAATACATTCTTTCAAAATAATGTGGCTTAAACACACACATATTCAAAATAAGAAACAATTTTTTTGGAAAATTTTTTGTCAATTCCCTTTATTTCTATTTACCTGCAGAATTTGTTGTTTAGAAAAATATTAGCAAACAAAAAAATAAAAGAATATAACTTACAAATTAAACGGACTGTCAAAATTTTTCACTATATAAAGAATTGTTACAATCATATAGAATTTCGCTCACCAACCTAATTCCAAAGTATTACAAAGAAAAAAATAAACACGAATTTTATCACACCTACTTTTCTAACCAATGTACAAAAAGTTTTAAGATGCTAGGCTCACAATATTTTTCTCTCAGATTAACTCTCTGGCCACACCCAAAATAATGAAATACATCCACTATTTATAGAATCAATAACCAAGTAAAAGAATTTAATATAAACTCAAACAAGATTCCTTTAACTCAACAAGAATTCCTTCATGTGCAAGATTTCAAAATCTGCTGTAAATTTGAGACCAAATTCTACAAGAATTCTGCTCTCAACTTTTATTAGAAGTCTTCCATACAATAATTAACTTTTTATTATTTGCAATAGAAGTCCTCCAACTTTTGACTTTTGAGACAATTACCTAACAAATTTATCTACATTCCATTCAGGGCACCACTAGTTCCCAAGCCTCACCTTCATAATGGAATCTTTTATTTAGCTGTACACTCAAAGCATTTAATGATAAAAATTGTCCAAATTATTTGGCTCTTGTATGTCAAATTTGATTGAATAAAATCATTCTTCCCAACTTGAGTCGGATGTAACGACTAATATATCCTCTTACCTTGGTACCTCTTACCTTGGTAGACTGACAAGATTAAACATAAGTTGTGGGCGTGGTCAACATATTGATATGAACTGATGAAAAAATGAATGAACACACACTTATCAATTGAAGTTGGAGTACTTATTACGAGCTTGACGGACGTGGGTGTAAGGGTCATTTAGTGAACTTCGTGCATAGATGCAGAGGATCATGGATACACACGAGAGGTTCGTGAGAAAATTTCAAAAAAATTAAAGCGATTCATATTTTCACAAGGGCAGCCCATATGATAACTTAACAAACATTGTGCAACTACAATGAAAAGAAAAGAAAAATTTAATTACCAACTTGTCTTTTTTAAAATTTGACAATTTACTATTAAAACAATGAATCGGGGACCAATAGTGCAATTTTTTTCTTTCATTTTTATTGACTTCTTGTTGTTTAATTGGTGTAGCAAGCATGACTCGGTCAGCGGTGAGCCGTCATTGAGGGACAATTCAAGTGATTTTGTCATTTAATTCGGATCCAAACGATATTTAGTAAAGCAAATTGTGAGTTTGGTAGGGTTGTGCATTTCTCTGTCCGGACTTTCTTCATATGAATTGTAGACAAGTAGTTCGAGATATCGACCGGTTACTAAATTTTCCGAGAATAATATTTACGTTAAGATTTCACATGAAAAATAAAACAAAAGACAAATTTTAATAAATTTGCCTTTTATTTATAAAGTAATATCGGAGAATATTTATTACCCTTTTCTTCACTTCTCATATATGGAAAATAGGATGGCGCTTGGTGAGGTACACCTCAAAGTCTAGTCCATGAGTTTATAAATTGATTTGGCTATATAATTCTATAATTTAATAGTATATTACATCGATTATTTGTCAATTTATTAATATTTTATTCACATCAATCAATTGAATAATCATGCCTTCCAATCGAAAGTAATTTGACTATTCTTTAGATAAGGACCAAGATTTTTGACCTAGACTCCTTGATATACAGGAGAGAATCAAGGATCAAAGTCCAACTAGGGCAAGTTGATTGTTGACCGTTAACCGTTGACCATCAACGATCGTAATAGTCCGATCATTTATTAAAATTTGGTTAAATAATATTAAAAGTTAATCAATATATATTAACAATTTGAACATTGATTATTTAACATCAACAAATCTAGTAGTCAACAAAATTAAACAGAACAAAACCCAAAAGAAAAAGAGAGAGAGAGAGAGAGAGAGGGAGAAAGAGTCACCAGATAGACTCACTGCACTCGGACTCGGCTCAACAATCAACAAGTGGCAGTTGAAGTGGCAAAACACGTCTGTGCAGCATCAACAATTCAGCATGCAAAATAATAAATGACATGAGCATCCTTCATATTAAATTATCAATTATAACTTTCTATTTCTAGTAAATTGTACAAAAAACAAATCCAATTTTTCAAATAGGTCACAGACGGAAATATGGAATACCTTCATATTAACCCTAAAACAATTTTGTGTTGATTATTATAAAATTTAAATTCGATGATTAGCATAAATTTTCGGTGCCTGTTGATTTATTGATTAGATGTCTAATAACACTGAACCTTAGTACTTGCGCGAATTTTTTGAAAGCGGAGATTCCAAAATTGCGTCAAATGTCCAATGAATCTGTGTTGCCTCTTCTTCGATTTCGAATTGAAATTGGAATTATAGAATGGACATGGAGTGCGCCGTGTGGACTGGAGAGTAGAGAAGGGAGGAAAAGCAGAAAAGGGTTTGGCTTTCT